ATATGTTTAGCTAACGGTCTAGACTTTCCTGAAATACCGGATTGTTTGAAAGGTTTAACCCCAATTGAAGAACATCTCATAATGCCTAGATTGCCTTTTATGACAATCCGCCCGTTAGGATATCAAGGTCAGAGTTTGCTCAAAGGTGCTGTTGTTAATATACCAATTTCTGTTAACAATATTGTGACATCTCTACCAAGGTCCTTTGATGAAACATGAGCCTACAAATTTACTTAAGAAGGCGTTTGGAATACAATCATGATTACATGATCGATACCATACGCCCCGCAAAGATTATGGAAACTTTGCAGTTCTTAGTGAATACCCCTCTGTATCGCGAGCACAATATACATATTAATGAAAACTGGATTGCAGAATTTAATAACCAAGAAGAAGTTCCGTTTGTTGCATCTGCAGAGGATTCCCGATTGGTTCAATCTTTTCATGCGGCACAAACTTCTCATGATAATCCCTCAGGTAATAATATTCCAACGGGTCTTTTACCTTCAGAGCTAAATCCAGGCGGTCAAGAAACTCTTTTGGTTATTCCTGTAGAAAACTTAGACTATAACCGTTTAGTTATAGCGCCAGGTGAAGGACAAAGACCAATTGACATAATTCAAGACAATAATTCAAAAGAGTTGTCATTTGGAACAGTATACGCTGGGCAGAAACGTACATGATCTGAAACATATAGCAAAATAATACGTTCTGAAATTCGCCGTTTTGACAGAAGAGCGTGTACCATTCCAAAGTAGAACAACTTTACAACAAAAAATTAGAACTGCTACAAATTAAGAATAGTACATCCATTTGCCTTAGAAAGTTTTCAGGTCGCAACCAAGTTACGACCCAAAATCTATTAAACGAAAACTTTGTTCATAACTTAATTCAACACGATGAAGGTTACAAGGTTTTGAAAGGCGTTAGATCCTCACCTGCGCACTGGGAAGCTGAGAAGAAAAAGGCAATCGCTATGATTCGCCAATTTGGGCTTCCAATCTTCTTTATCACTTTATCGGCTGCAGAATCTCAGTGGGTTGAGCTTTTGGTCATCCTCTCTAAAACTGTTGATTCTAAAGATATTTCGGAAGAGGAAGTTAACAGTTTAACAACCCAAGATAGATATCGCTTAATTCGGTCGGACGCGATTACTTGTGCTAAATATTTTGACTACCGCTATCGACAAATTCTTAAGCTTTTTAAAGATAACGCCGGCATTTTTGGAGAGCATTTTGTTACAAATTAATAATGCTTAATAATGCTCCCAGGATCAACCTTCAAGATCCTCAGACATTTCCTGATGTCATTAGTTTTATTGACAATTTTATTTCTACCGATGGTTCGATCAGCCACTTAGAAAATTATTTGGGTTATCAAAAGCATAACCACAGTCGGTCTTGTACTAGGGAAATAAGAGGACAACAGTTTTGTCGTTTTGGTATACCATATCCACCAACGCCTTCAAACCAAATACGATTACCTCTTACAGAAACAAGTCAAAACTCAGAAAGACACAAGGAAAACTTTTTCAAAATTCAAAACCTTTTAAATTCAAATATGACTACAGAAGACATTTCTAATTTAAGAGATTTTGAACATTTCCTGTCTGATAGTAGAATAAATATGTCTTTTGGTGACTATTTGTTAGCCCTTATATCAAGTTTAACAAAACCCAAAATTTTTCTAAAAATCCCATTTCCATAGAGCAAATATGGATATATCCAATATATACTGAATACATATGCTTGCTGTTCATATATAATTAATTATATTAACAAGTCTAACAAGGGAGTTTCTAGGCTCTTAAATGAAGCTATATCAGAGGTAAATGCTGGAAATTATACTATTAAGCAAAAACTTAAACATATAGGTCACAAATTTATATCAGGCACTGAAATATCTGCACAAGAAGCAGTATATTGCTGCATTGGGCTCCATCTTTCGGAAGCAAGTAATGCAGAAATATTTATAAATACCTCTCGACCTGAGGAACGTGTTCGAATGGTAAAACCTAGAGCGGAACTTCAGAACCTTCCTTCAGGTTCGACTGAAATATTCGTAGCCGTTTTTTAGACCGTTATGTTCAAAGATCCGATCAGTTAGAAACTCTTTGTTTAGCTGATTTTGCATCTAGGTATAAATATTTTAAATCTAGTAGAAGAGCACAAGATAGTGATCATGAAGAAGAAGAGAGGGAAGACGATAATTTACCAGAAAGCGGGGTTGTCATGCCTCTTAAAGACGGTAGCGGTTTTGTGAAAAAACGTACCAAACCTTGTATTATTCGGTATAGAAGGTTTAACCCAGATTCGGCCAGAGTTGAGTATTTCCGCGAAATGTTAATGCTTTACCATCCTTGGCGGAATGAACAGCAAGATCTCATTGAAAACGATAATGAGCAGACTTGCATAACACATCGTATTATAATTGAGGAAAATCAAAGAAAATAGGATGTTTTTGAGCAAAGAGAACTTGAAAATGTTCTAGAAAGTCTTTATAATGAAATAGACTTGGACGAAGGTGCTCAAAATGAACTACCTATCGTGGAAAATGAGTTCAGAGTGTTGGCACTTCCAGAAATAAACCCAAATATAAATTTGCTGGACTTGCATGGCGAAGATTCAACAGATAGTGGCACTGAATCTGATTGCAATATTAGACTTATTAAACTACCCCCTTTAATTCTAGTTGAGGAATTATTTTCTTTAGTTCAAAGTCTAAATACTAAGCAAAGAACCTATTTGACACATTTGATGCACCACCTAAAAACAAATCTCCCATTTTATGAGTTCATTGGCGGCGGTGCAGGTGTAGGAAAGAGTCGTTTGATATCTGCAATATATCAAGCTCTTAACCATCGTTAGAATTTTACACCTGGATCGAATCCAAGTTCCTTAAAAGTTCTTCTTTGCGCACCTACGGGTAAATCAGCATTCGGAATAGGTGGAATGACCCTTCATTCAATATTCTCTTTACCTGTTAATCAGTTGAATAGAGAGTTGAGGCCACTTAGCAATGACACAGTGAATTCATTGTATTCCAGACTTATCGATTTAAAATTAATCATAATTGATGAAATATCGATGGTAGGTGCTTGTATGTTTAGCTCTGTTGATGCGAGATTAAAACAAATTTTCAAAACAGACAGCCCCTTCGGTGGTATACCGATCATAGTGTTTGGTGATTTGAAGCAACTCTCACCTGTTGGAGATAGGTGGATATTCTCTCTTAATCCCAATGATGCATACAGCACCTTAGTTGGTTCCCCTTTGTGGGAGTTATTTAAATACTTTGAATTAACAGAGATAATGAGACAACGGGAGGATCAGGCCTTTGCAATTGCATTAAATCATATGGCATCTGGTGCTATGACAAATGAGGACATATCACTCATTGAAACTCGAGTAGTTAATTTCGAAGAAGTTCCCGATGATGCCATACATTTATTTTGGTCCAATGAAGAGATAAATAATTCCAATGCCCTTAAGCTCAGTCGAATCCCAACAGAAGCTTTCCTTTCCAGCTTCCCATTGGATGGTGTTCCAGTTTTTGGGTTCGTCCTTTTTCCTTTTGGTACTAGGGTCCCTCGACGTTTATACTTGTAGATCCTTGGTCACTCCCATAGTCTTGCTTTTATATTTTCAGGCATTTTATATTTGTTTGTGCACTCGCGTAGCCGTACTTTTTGATTTTCGAGCCTTTTTATTACATTCGCACACTGGTCACTGCTCATGCGTCAGTTAAAAAACTTTTATTTTGTTTTTATACAAAAATATATTTTAGGAGCTATTCTTCTTAATTGAATTCCGAATAAGAACTAAGGTTTACAATTTATTACACTTAACTCTAAACCTACGTTTGCCGCTGCAACGGGGATGTAATTCGCAGACCTTGTGCTTCCCACAGTTTCGTACTGCACGTGTCGCAACTTCAGCGATTTGGCTGGTGTCATATTGCATTACTTTGTATCATATAATACTAATACATCATTTTATACTTTTTGACTGTGTGGCGTGCTAACTTATATATGCGCCAAGATTGGAAAGCTCCTCTTTAGACGAGAACTTATCGAAAAATCTCAATATTTCTTATCCTGACCCCTATTTTAAAGGCATTGGAGCTTCCAGATAACTCCACATACATATATTAGTCAATTAAACCCCAGTGAAGCCCAAAAGTGGTGTCTCTTAAGTTCTTTTATAGTTACTATACGATTCTTGAGAAAATTTAACTTGCAATGTGTTCACAAAAAATAATTATGAGATCTAACACTCCATCCTAAAAGTGATGTAAACTGCCAAACACATGCTTTCGAATGTGCATGGGTGCTTTTATCTGTCACTGTCTAGTTATTCACCTCTTGTATACTAATGTAGCCCTATTTGACAAGTAGAAGATAACAAAAACAATTTTAAACATTAATATTTTTTATTTAACGTATTTTTGTTTGTTTTATTAAACATTAAAATGCGAAAAGCGTATTCATGGATTTACTTAAACTATATGCTTAATTGTAATGTTCTTAATTATTATATATCTTGTATAGGTCTATGTAAAAAGAAATGTGCCATTTCAGTTTAAAAATGTGACTTTTTGTGAAAAAAAAAAAAAATTAAATATGAGTCCATTAGTTAAACAAAAATACAAAAACGTATGTATATATAAATGGATAAAGCGCACAGAATGAGCTGTTAAGCAAATAATAAATTTTTTTATCTTAGTTTAAAAAATTATATATACAAATTATATCTTACAAACTATTTGAATAATTTTATTTTTTTTATTTACATGCATAGATTTCAAGCAACAAATTGAAGCAACGTAGTTTTCTTTTCAGCGTAGTTTTCTTTTTTAAATTCATTGGTTATTTTTAAATAAAGATATTTTACGTGAGAGCAGATATTGGAAGAAATTCCCCTTTCTTCATTCCTTATTCCATATCATTTAAACAAATAGTTTTCTATTAGGTTATGCTTATATAAACATTAACAGTTCAGTTCAGTTTTTTATTATAGCCTTTTATTTATGCACTTTTTATTAGCTTGTGTAGATTTACAAAATATGGTTGCATAATATGTATGACATAAAATTGGAAAGGTATTTTTATATGTATGATTATGAAATATGAAGCGAAAATATAACATTACAAATTTGAAAGTTCTCATCGAATGTAGATTTTGGAATGTTTCAATACAATTATGACTATGTAGTTATATGATATGCCGTGCTGGATGGCGGTTAAAGGCGATGAAAATGTGTGTCCCTCAACTTATGACAAACTATGTTAGTGGGTTAGTAATAGAAATGTTGGCCTGAAATATAATATATTGAAGCGATGAATTGCTAGTATATTTATTTTTCATAGTTATGCACGAATGATTCTGGGAAATGTGAATGATTATTTCCACACAGGATGCTTTTATATTTTTCTGCAGTTTTAAAATAAGATTGCTATGCACCATAAAATTTTAGATATGTATATGATATATTAATGACATCAGCTACTTTGAACAATAACACCTAAAAACGGCACATTAATCATTAAATCTCTAAAAACGTTGCAAGCAAAGTTATCCCTAAAATTATCAACGGCTCGCTAATTAACTTACTTTCAGCGTGTATTAATATAATTAATATTTACATGTTATTTTAGTAGTTTAAACATAAGCCTTAGAAACATTAAAAAAAACTTCTTTTTTTATTTGACTACTACATTAATGACTAAAATTAAATTTAATTTTGCTAAACGTTTAAACGTAGGATATTGTATTTATAATATTGTGAATAATTTACTTGATTAGAATTTTTATAAGGGTTTTTCGATACAAACTATGTATTATTTTACTTGAGGATTACGTTAGAGCATTTTTTTCTGCACTGACTTCAACTTTGATTGCTGAGTTTGTAGATTTGGCTAAAGAGTTTTTACGTGTTTTAGCGGTGGTACTTTTTATCCGTTGAACAGTAGTTGGAGCAGGATCTTCGTCGACATCTGTCGCATCGACCGGTTTTCGACTAGACGCCGGCGGCGTCAACAAACCATCTGGGCATAATAAACCTGTAGCTGGAGAGGCCTCCGTGCGGTTTTTAGTTGCAAAAGCAAGCTCTAGTAATTGTGCAGTTCGATCCTAAAAGTTATAATGAATATTATTGAATTGGCTCGCTTTTCAGATAAAGAAATTTTAAAATTTAACATAATTTAATTAATATTACTTACAAACATTTCCATTGATATTGTGTGCGTTTGTATTATATGCGAGTCGTCGGTTATAATATTGGGGCAAATATGACCTAAACCGAAACGATTTGTGAATTGTTCATTTTGCTCCAACATGGGCAAGTAAGTAGACTCTTCGCGCACAACTTCGAAAAATGGTCGCATCCAGCGCGCGCATGGCTCAATCGTTTGCCAATCGAATCCCGAACAACGCAACGCTACCTCTCTATAATAAAAATAATATGCAATGAATTTATAATAGTATGTTCTAAGTATAGTCATTATGTGTATATACATACCTATTGAATGTGTGACTCATGGCCGCAGCAGCAATAATAGAATAACCATAGTCGGCAATACCCAAATCCAGTGAGCATAGGTCCAATAATTGCGCAGTTTGTACAAATTCCATTCCTGAAAATTGCGGGTAAATAAAGGCATCGTTCTTATCTGCCTCGTCTGTTGTCGCCGTTGATTTGGCTTTGTACGTGTTATGCTTAAACGACGCCGGAGTACGGTTATTCACATTTAATTGCATGTAGACACCTAACCATCCCATTGGTGTAACCGGATTTATACTCCATTCGAGCGCTTGCAGCAGCAACACTTCATGCTGCAATATATCCGATTCCTGGCATGCGCCATCCGTCACATAGGCGAATTCACCAATTTTGGGCGGGTATATTTCTTCAACTTTCGCAGCCACAAAAAGACAAGTTATGCCAATCAGCTGCAGATGAGTCTTCTGTACATTCTTTTGCGTACTTAGGTAGCGATCCAAGTAGTCGACTGCCAAGTAGTAGGATTCGCGATGTAGTTTGTATACTTCGCAAACCTCAATCAACCAATCAAGCAGAATGGCACGCATACGCGGCTGTAAGCTGGGATGTCGTTCCAACATTGAACCTGAGCGTAAGAAGGCTGCTTGATGGTCCTTTTTGCACATTAATTGCCAAACATCATATGCATTTGCCCAACTTAATGCTGGTAACGGACATTGTCGCAACTCGTCTGGTTCCGTTGCCGGTGTCATACAGTTATATGGTGTGCCCGTGTAGTCATCATCATATGCCTTAACCAACTTTGTTTCGATATTTTTGCCTGTGTTTTGAGTAATTTGGCCAGGGGTACGTTCTCCTAATTGGGTGACGGCGTGCATTTTATATAAGTGATGCGGATCTTTGGAGCAACTTGTCGAGCATTCCGAAGATGGTGATGTTGTTGCAGATACAATTTCGTCATCTTCCACGTCGATGACTTCATCGTCTGGACGTAAACTGCTCGGACTGTCGGGTATGCAATCCGCGGTGGCCTCAAAGTCGGTGCCGGCTGAGAGGTAGTCGCAAGAACTGCGCGTGTCGATTTCATGAGAGAACCCATCAATTGGCGACGGATACACCGATGACGCCACAGAACTTACATCACTTGTATATGGCGAGGGTAGCGTTTGTTTGCGCTTAGCCGACGGTAGATCGCAGCCTAGGTCAGGATCCTACAATGCAAAAGCAAAATATATTAGGTTATTATATATACTTGTAGTTAATATACTCAAAAAAATTAAAGTGTTTAACACACACGCACAAACGAAAACATGATTAATATAATATTTAGAGTGAACCGTTTATATTCGCTTTGGTTCTTATCCTAACTTTATACAATACTTTAACTTGTTAAACATTTTTTTATTTTCTTAAAATTTTTTTTTATTTTTACCATATCAACTAGTTTTCTCTTTCGCTCCCACTTCATTATCACATAAATTCAGTTCAAATCAACTGCAAGATCTTCCTTAAATATGATATGCGTTGCAAAAATAACAATAATAACACAAACAACAATACAACAATACAACAAAGGCAGTTTTTGGTTCGAGGAAATCCTTTTCTCATATAATAACTTAAAGTATTTAAATCGATTAAATTCGCCCGCACAAATGAACAATATCAATCAATCTTCATTACAAAAACACAGTATATTTTGGCGACCAAAAATCTGTATAATTCGTGGCGATTTGGGTTAAATGCGATAAATGATTATTGCAATTTTTCTTAAATTCTCATCATATTTATGTTTATATATATTATATTTGGTTTCAAAATACTTCTTTGGTTTTTAGTTGCATCAAATGGTTTCACTGATTTGCACTGCACGTATTCTATTATTAGAATAGTTGCTTCATTAACTGTAAGGGTATTTAATTTCCACTGTTTTTTTTTATTGAACTTGCGAAGGTGAAAATAGGCTTAAAATAGAGTTGGTTATGCGGAAGCTTTAGCTCTTTTCACTGAATACCGTCGTTAGCAGGGTGTAATATTTAAATGCGCACAAGTTGCGTACGCCTTGACTTTCCGTGTTAAACTGATCGTGTGCCGCGATCATTGACGATATATCCTGTGTGCAACGGTAGCGCAGCAAAAAGACAGCTGCAATGAGAGTTGCTCGTACTTTAACAGGCTGCAGTCGTTTTTGCCTGCAGCGAAAGGATACGTACTCAGTCGAAATTGTTTTGTTCTCCTTCCAACACATACGAAAACATCAGAGACATGTGAATATGTGAGTGTGTAAGAATTAAAGGCGAAGAAAAGATGAGGATAGAATGCACAAAGGCGATATAAATAAGAGCGGGTCTCAGCAGACAACCATAAGATATATGTATATTGTATGTGTGTATATATGCTTATTAATATTTATATGTATGTATGCATGTATATATGTAAATGGATTTAGGTACTTCGATTAAATAAGGATCTGACAGTGAAAGCCAAGAAGGCTGCACATTTTCTTTTGTATTAGTATTTGTTTTTGAGTTATTTCTTTGTTCGATTCATATCATAATCATAAACTTTTTGTCGTGTACGAGGAGCACCAAGGTAAAGTACAGGTAAATCACACTAACGATTCTGATCACAAGTTACTTACTTATAAAATTAGTTTTGGAATTCCTGAAAGAGCGAAGAAATAATGCAATTTTCTCCAAACACAGTGGTTAAATAAAGTATGTCAAGGGCGCGTACGTCAGAATTCTACGTTATAATTAACGTTTTTATATTTCAATAATTAATTGAACGATCTTTTTTCCTAAAAAATTTGTATCAAAATAACGGACGATAGAAAACAGGAATGATCTTTACAAATAGGATTATCTTTATATAGAAAAGGCTTACTTTCCGCAAACAATTTGTAATTATTCGGAATGGTCAAGAGGATTATGTTACAATGAAAAGGCCGTGTATATAAAATTATGTTTTATTGAATTTTAGAAACAAACATCGATTGTTAAAGCATATGCATACAACATGTCTTCATACATACATATTTAGATATATGCACGTTTGTATGTACATATTTATATACAATTCTGCCTTTACTCAATACAATTTGCATCAAATAGAGAACTAAAAATTTGACGCTGGAAAGAAATTGCGACAGTTAAAATATACATACTTACATTTGTAAGGAAAAATCTGAGAAAGAAGTCAGCAGCAACAATATCTTCTTAAGAAGGTACAAAGCAGCAGCTGCTGAGGATGACGCAATACTGATAAGGGTGACCTATAGAACAAACATATGAATAAAGTTACCGCACAATTATTTGGCCCAAAAACAATTCTATGGCTTTACATTTTTGCACAAATAAATTGGAAATATTGTCTCCGCATTCCATCTAGTCACTGGACAGGCACTTACAAACGCTCATATATTATATATATACATACCTACTTATGTGGAACTCAATTAGACCAAGTGCCATCATCTATTGTTAGTGTATCACATTTAATTCAAAATCTATTACGCAACCAATATATAATATATACATGTATACATTTATATTTATATGTAGAACTAATAGAACTTCGAGGTTGACATTGTATAAAAGATAAGTAAGCTTTCATATAATCATACATAATTTACTGAAAAAATTACAGAAGTGCTGAGTTTTCAAATTAAAATACTTGAAATGACAGTTCTTGCCTTTTATTCGGTTTTTTATTTGGACTAATACTATACTATACTACTACTAGTATGAACTAATTATAAAGTCATAGCAGTGTACATTGAAAACCTCAGCTTAGTCAAAATCTCGAGCTTTAACTGTAAATCTTTACGAGAGCAAAACCTTTCCTAAGAAGTTCAACTTTTAAAAAGCACTTTTAATTAACTGTTAATTTAAGTTTTTACTTAGTTAGAGAGTATGTTTTTCCTTTTTATAAATAACTCAGCTTATAGCCCACTGGCCTTTTGGTTTATATCTCTGGTGGAATGTCGTCACGGAAAACTTTATTTTCAGTTCAACATTTGTTCTGTATGTCGCTTTGTATGCAGAAGTCGCCGAATCTTTAATAGAGCAATTTAAAACATCTTTATAATAACTTTGGATGCCCAATTTGTACAAGTGTCCCCACATTTTTCAATACTCAAATAAAATTGGATTTGCAGTGGTGTATTAGTTAAAAGTTCGCACTACCCCCTGTAATATCTGGGACTTGTTTCTATACAAGCTTTAAATCATTTGGAACGTTCAATTTTAAATGATTATTCTGTGAAAAACTTACATAGTAGTATATTTTTTTTTTTGTTTAAGTTAAAATACTGTTATATCGTTATGAGACTGCCAGTGGCTTCGAAGCTTCATTTCAAACATATTATACATAGTTGTATACATTAGGGTGGAGGTAAAAAAAAAAGTTTGCTTAGCCTGAGGGTAAAATCTGTAGATTATAAAAAAATAAAATTTTTGGACAAAAAAAAAATTTTTAACATCTAGAGGCGGCCCACTCAGTAATTGTGATAGTTTTTGACTCAAAATTTATTTTAACGCTTAAGGAAAGCATGTTGTTGTTTAAGATTTTTTTTTAGTCCAATTATGACCGCAAAAAAAATTTTTTTGTGTTGATAACTTTTATTTGGACAGAAAGAGGACTCTCCACAGCTTCTAGAACACTAATCAAAAAATGTTTACAAAATAAAAATTTTAACTCGAAAATTTACTTTAAAACTGAGATGTTAAAAAAAAAATTTCTTTCGCTTCACCCTAGTATACATATCCGAGAAAGTAGGTTTTCACTACAGGAAGAAGGCTACGGTTTGAGTGAATTCGATTTTATACTTTTAGCAACAAAAAATTAAAAACTACGAATACAAATGTTATACATTTTCTCTAGCGATTCAAATATTTGTATCGCTCGATTGTTAAGTAAACTTAATGCAATATCAGCAGATGTGTGCATTGCACAACAGCAAAATACAAGAAGCAAGAAAGAGGATCAAAAAGAAAAAAATGTTATAAGAGAGGAACAAAGAAACAAATACATTCATATACATATATCCACGTACACAAAAATTATGTTCATTTTTAAACTTAACACCAACAAGAGCGAATATGGGAAACCAAGAGATTTGTAGTTATGTAGGTTTCGAAGTAGCGAAAGTAAAAATTGAAACACGCGCTACTCGGGCAAGAAAAGAATTTCAACACCCAAGAGAGAGAGAGAGAGAAAGAGAGGGAGAGAGAGAAAATTCGGAAAATGTTAGATTTTGTTAGAAATATTTAAAGGAAATAAATTCTAAATTGTCTGACTGCACCCTCTGAAAAGCGAAGAGAAGCCGCACATTAAGAAACGAAGGAAAAATCTAAACATATGAAACTCCTTGGTAAGGGTATGCAGGCTAGACTGTGACTTCAATAAAATTAGGCATCTGCGCTCGCATACTGCATACTTATACAAGCATACATATCTACAAACGTTGTGGCAATCAAGCGGTTGCGCATGCGTGAACACCTTGAGCGCAAAGAGGGGTTGTCAAACGTCGCACGGTTACTTCGCGATCCTGCTGTTATTACCGAACGCTCCCCAATGCATAACTATGCACTTACGAATATGTGCACACATATGTATGTATATGTACATATACTAAATAGCAAAGCATACAAATATACATATTTCTACTTCGTTCGGTAAGGAAAAGTTTAGCAAAAAATCGTTAGGATGTCTTACCCTCATACATTACAAACTATGTACGTATACATACAAATATGTGGTGACCTTTGTTTTTCGTCGATTTTTATTTTTGATGGACGCGCGAGGGTTCACGTGTTATTTTCACAGGATAATGTTATAGCAGAGATATGACTTTAATCAGCAATTACAGCATACGTTATCTTTGGTCAGAAAAAGAAATTGACAAACGAAAGATAACTGCCGCATGTCGGTTGAGTATTCAGAGCAATTGAGACGAAAACGCACTTTCTTTAATAGTTATCACTGAGTTTGAAATGAACGCGTCTATAAAACGAATGTTTGATTGTATCCACAGAAAGGACACTTATATGCCGTTACGTAAATATGTATGTGTATATGTTGTTAGACCAACGGAACGGCATTCACGTTTTGCTAGTTATATATGTGCATACATATTTACTTGTGAGAATATATAATTAAATATTCATAGGGACGACGTTTGGCCCGTTGAGGTATAACAGTTATGTATGTATGTAGGTTAGATGGTATGCTTAAGAAAGTAGAAAGTTACTCCTTTCTACAATGTTAAATGTTTATGTAATGCAAAGAAAAAATTACAAAAAGTAGTAAACAGTTACAGGCATAGTAGGTTGTAAAATAATGCTTTAGCTTCTTATGCATTTATGCAAATGATCACTGGCATTAAGTGTACTGATCGAGTATTTTGTATTTAATTTTTCGGAAATATTTGGAGTCTGTACATACTTATATGTACATATTATTTAAAAATTTCTGTTATAGTTGAGTCGGCGCAACTATTGTCTTGAAGATGAAACCTAATAAGAAAATAGCATAGCAGACATGATATTTTCCCATTTATGACTTATTAATAAAATATTTACACAAATACAAATATTTAACTTACATGTTGCGCTTCATTAACCGAATCCTGTCTTTTACGCTTGGTGGTATCCCTACAATTATTAATTTGAGCAAACCAGTGCGAGGTATCTGTAGATGTAGTCGGCACTGGAGACCAGCCATGTAACAACTTCGAATCTATGGACGACGATGATGGTGATGTTGACGATGCTTCAATCACTGATATATCAGCAGTTTTCAATGATGTAACTGTAGACTTTGACGGTGAGCCCTCTAACAAGGATTTATATTGTAACGATTTCGACGATATTGGTGGCTGAAACCAAGACGACGTTGCACACATTGGCGTTGTATTAGAGTTTTCATCAGTTGATGTAATTTTTCTACGATTTTCTATATTATATGGAAGTTTGCTTTGACGATGCTTTGAGGTATTTTGCATTTTATAACTCTTGTGGCCACTTTTGTTTTTATGACTACTAGTTGTTTCCCTTTGAGTAGGACTTCCGGTAGAAATTTTGTTACTTCGATCCTTTTCAACCCTGCAATAAAACAGAAAAAAACGTGCTGAAATAAGTATTAGTTTCCAAATATTCTAAAAAAAAGAAAAAAACGTGCTGAAATAAGTATTAGTTTCCAAATATTCTAATAATCAATAAAAGTTTTGGAAAACATATATCATTAAGAAATTCATTAAACTCAGTCATTTAAATTCACAACACGTATTCAATTTCTCTCATATATTTCGAAGATTGGTAAAATAAGTACTCCCATAATTACGCCTACCTATTTTGGTAGGCAAAATACGATCAGCGCCGGTGTTAAAATTAAGTAATTCACATAATTGCATTTCATGCGAAATTTACATTTCTTTTGCAGATTACACAACATAAACAATCCTCCTAGTTTATTCAGATATACATATGTGCATATATAGATAAATTTCTAGCGCGCCCGTTTTTTTGCATTTCCGCCGTTTTTCCTTAGTACCCACAATCTTCCCATAGTGCAGATGGGAACAATTGGTTACGAAAGGTTTGTCGCTGATTTTAAAGATGCTCTAAAGAGAATCGCAGTCGTTACCATTGTGTCAAAAGTATCAGTTAAAATAGATAGCAATTTATAGCTTGAACAGCAAGGCAACACCCAGAAAAGGGTAAATATGTAAAGAGGTAAATTTATTTATCTTAAAGACACCCCATAAATTTCTTGCTCGTTAAGTATGTCGAAGTCGTCTATTTTTTTTACAAATGTGCTGTATATGTATAGCTCGTCGATTTTCCAACCAATAAATTTATACGCTTGAGAAAAATACAATACTTAACCGTCAAATTTATATATGCTGGTGTGCGTTCTTTATAAGTCATAAAGGACGATTTTAAAACAATACAAATAATAAATATGAAACTTATTAGCAAGAAAAAAAAATTTAACACAATCTATATTTTAGCATATAAATCAAATCAAATAAAAGTTGTACTATAATTAAAAATATTTTTAATATTAATATTAGTTTAATATTTTGTTAAATTAAATAATGATTTTGACTAAATATCTGCGTTTTATTCTGCCAAATGGTCGATATTTTCTCTGCTGCCTAACTATTCATATCTGCATTAGCGTTATCCTACAAATGGTGGAGTTAACATTTTCCTAGCTGCTTCTGAATGACTAATAAATTTTAATGAGAAGTTTTCTAATAGACATTACACTAATGGCTGGTTCACGTACAACTTTTGCTTCGCTTTGCTTCAGACTCCTGCTTTGACAGATGAGCCCGATGTATGCTTCTGTGTGAGTTCGTTATGCCTTCTGTTTTCTTCGTTAAAGTAAGAACTGTCAGCAAAGCTGGGAAAGTTTTATGTAAATCAGTCATATGTTTTGAGAGGGTAAGCTTTTCCCATGTTTTTAAATTTTACCTCGGCCCACGGCTCATTAACTAGTTGAACGTGTGCCTTGGGGATCAAGAAACTTTCACCAAATTATTTTATAGCAGCAAATTTCCTACCATTCTTCTATTTGCTTTAAAGGCCACCGCATGTCTAGCGACTTAAATTCCGAGGTGTCAAAACCATAGGTATGTCATGCAAATTATGGCAGTTATTTTCATACAAATTTTCCGCGTTCCTTGTAATATTTCCATAACTATTGAAATAGAAAAAGGGATATAATTGCTGTTATATTTGCATCCCTTTTGTCGTTGGATGTAAACATATGCATGCATCGCAGAACCAAAATAAAATAACGTATGCCAATAGTGTACCAGGCTGATGTGACGCCATTATAGCAGAATACGTAAGCATTGGCGGAATGGCGATGGTGTTGTCCATTGACTGCAAGTGACTTTGACTTGTCACCGTTGCCGGCGGTGTGGCTGCTGACATTCTAGCCCGTTCTTGCGGTTTTCAAATAGCGAAGCAGTGTGCCTTCTATATGTGTGGGTGCTTGATGTAATTTTTGCTGTACGCATGTATGTATGTGTGTACATGTTCAAATTCCATAATGATCATCAAATTAATTGAAGGTAATTCTGTACACACCCCTCTTTGGTTATTGTCGTTTGATGTTATAGCCCATAATCACTCAGTTATTTGGCCGAAAGGTTGGACGCATAACGATGGACGATTTTGCAGCTGAATTCACTACACATGCAACTTTATTTAAATACTTATTTAATAGCGGGTTACATTTTCATCATGATTTTATGGACTTTTTCAATTAATATAATTTATTAAATATACATATGTCTTTATTTAGCTACGTACGCAGGTATAAGGGTGTCTCTGAATATAAGCAAATAGAAAAATTAAAATGGTTTAGTAATTAATTGTATGTATAACTCACTTTTTGTAATATGTGTTCATGTTATAACTCATATTTGACAGATCAATCAAAAACTGAAAGAAAAAAACAAAATTATTAAAAAAAAACTATAACTAATTTGGTTTATATTTATCTATGTTTTGAAAGTGTGATTACTTCTCTAATAAATATTATTTTCCAGTCACCACTCTGCAGGCAATTTAAAACCTCATATTTTTGTTCTAATAAAACCCATTAGCCATGTAAAAGCGATTATGTATACAGCTTTGATATATAAATAGTTACACATGGATATGTACGTTTTATAATAACGGACATTCAACTATGGTAAAA